AGACATATATAAACTCCAACACAGTGGTATTGGGAGTCTAATACCCACCTATCACCAATACATAAGTCACCCAAACAAAAAAATCAATAAATAAATCCTAGAACTAAATCACACCATAGATCAAATGGATCTAACTGATGTCTACAGAATATTTCATCCAACTTCTGCACAATATACATTCTTCTTAGCAGCTCATGGAACCCTCTCCAAAATTGATCATATTTTAGGGCACAAAGCAAGCCTCAGAAAATATAAGAAAATATAAATAATCTCATGCATTCCATCTGACAATACATTAAAACTAGAAATCAACAATAAAAACAGCAATAGAAAACATGCAAACAATTGGAAGCTGAACAACACATTGCTCAATGACCAATGGGTCATTGATGAAATACAAGAGGAAATTAAAAGTTTCCTGGAAGTTAAGGAAAATAAAAATACAACTTACCAGAACCTATGGGACACAGCAAAGGCAGTCCTAAGAGGAATGTTTATAGTTATGAATGTATATATTAAAAGGTCAGAAAGATCTCAGATCAATGATCTAATACTACAGCTCAAACTCCTAGAAAAATAGGAACAAGTAAATCCCAAAAAAAAGCAGAAAGAGAGAACTAATTAAAATAAGGGCTGAATCAATAAAATAGAAACAAACAACACAACAAAAACCATACAAACAATCAATGAAACAAAAAGCTGGTTCATTGAGAAAATAAATACGATGGACAGATTCCTGCAAACCTAACTAAAATGAGAAGAAAAAAACCCAAATTTGGAAAATCAGAAATCCAAAAGGGTAGATAACAACAAACACCACAGAAATCCAGGAAATCATCAGAGACTACTTCAAGAGGCTACCCTCTAATAAATTGGAAAAATTTGAAGAAACGGACAGATTTCTAGAAACATACAGCCATCCAAATCTGAACCAAGTGGATATAAATCATCTGAATAGAACCAAAATACTTAAAGACATTAAAGCAGTAATTATGAGTCCCCCAAAAAACAAAAGTCCAGGACCTGATGGATTCATTGCTGAATTCTTTCAGACATTCAAAGAAGAACTAATACCAAACCTCCTTAAACTGTTCCATGAACTAGAAAGGGAAGGAGCACTGTCTAACTCATTTTATGAAGCCAATATTACTCTCATCCCACAACCAGACCAAGACACCTCCAAAAAGGACAACTACAGGCCAATTTCCTTAATGAATATCCTCAATGAATATTGAGGATGCAAAAATCCTCAATAAAATAATGGCAAACCAAATCCAACAACACATCAGAAAGATCATTCACCATGTCCAAGTCAGCTTCATCCCAGTGATGTAGGGATGGTTCAACATATGCAAATCTATAAATGCAATACAGCACATCAACAGAAGAAAAGACATACCACTTGATCATCTCAGTATATGCAAAAAAAGCCTTTGACAAGATCCAATGCCACTTCATGATAAAAGTTCTAAGAAAACAAGGAATAGAAGAGATGGACCTCAACATTGTAAAGGCTGTATATGACAAACGTATAGCCAGCATTATACTTAATGGTGGAAACTGAAACCATTTCCCCTGAAATCAGGAATGAGAAAAAGGTGCCCACTATTGCCACTCCTATTCAACATAGCACTGGAATTCCTAGCCAGAGCAATGGGCAAGAAAAAGAAATAAAAGGAATACGAATAGGTAAAGAAACTGTCAAAATATTCCTATTATGAGACGATATGCTGCTATAGCTTAAAGACCCAAAAAACTCTACCGAAGAACTTTTAGACACCATAAACAGCTGTAGCAAGGTGGCAGGATACAAAATCAACTTAGAAAAATCATTAGTTTTTCTATACACCACCAACAAACAAACAGAAGGAATATATGGAAACAATTACATTCACAATACCTCAAAAAATCAAGTACCTAGGAGTAAACTTAACAAAGTATGTGAATGACCTTTACAAGGAGAATTACAAACTCCTGTAGAAAGAGATCAAGGAAGACTACAAAAGATTGAAAGGTCTCCCATGCTCATGGATTGGTAGAATCAACATAGTAAAAATGGTTGTACTACCAAAAGCAATCTACATGTTTAATGCAATTTCCATAAAAAACCTAATGACATTCATCACAGAGATTTAAAAATCTACCCTAAAGTTCATTTGGAAACAAAAGAGACCGTGAATAGCCAAGGCAATACTCAGTAAAAAGAGCAATGCTGGAGGTATCACAATACCTGACTTCAAACTATATTACAAAGCAATAGCAATAAAAACAGCATGGTACTGGCACAAAAACAGACATGAAGACCAGTGGAATAGAATAAAGGACCAGGATATGAATCCACATAACTATACTCACCTCACTTTTGACAAATGTGCAAAATTTTACAATGGAGAAAAGACAGCCTCTTCAATGAATGTTGCTGGGAAAAAGTGGTTCTCTGTCTGCAAGAAACTGAAGCTAGATCCATGCCTATCACCCTGTACTAGTATCAACTCAATATGGATCAAGGACCTTAATATCAGACCCAAAACTCTGAAGTCAGTACAGGAAGGAGCAGGAAAGACTGGAACTAATAGGTATAGGAAAGGACTTCCTCAATAGAACCCCAGTAGCTCAGCAACTAAGAGAAAGAATTGACAAATGGGACTTCATAAAATTAAAAAGCTTCTGCAAAACAAAAGAAATGGTCTCTAAACTGAAGAGAGGACCCACAGAGTGGGAGAAAATATTTGCCAGCTATACATCAAACAAAGGATGAGTAATCAGAATGTACAAGGAACTTCAGAAACTAAACTCTCCTAAAATCAATGAACCAATTAAGAAATGGTCAACTGAACTAAACAGAACTTTCTCAAAAGAAGAAATTCAAATGGCCAAAAAACACATGAAAAAATGCTCATCATCTCTGGCCATAAAGGAAATGCAACTCAAAACCACACTAAGATTCCACCTCACTCCTGTTAGAATAGCCATCATCCAAAACACCACCAACAACAAGTGTTGGCAATGATATGGAAAAAAAAACACTAATCCACTGCTGGTGGGAATGTAAGCTGTTGCAATCACTCTGGAAAAAGATGTGGAGACTTCTTAAAAATCTAAACATAGATCTGCCATATGATCCAGCAATCCCACTCCTAGGGATATACCCAAAGGAATGCAACACAGGTTACTGCAGAGGCACCTGCACAACCATATTTATTGCAGTGCTATTCACAATTACCAACTTATAAACAACCAGGATGCCCCACTGCTGATGAATGGATCAAAAAAAATGTGGTATTTATACACAATGGAATTTTATTCAGCCATGAGGAAGACTGAAATCTTATCATTTGCAAGTAAATGGATGGAACTGGAGAACATCATTCTGAGCAAAGTTAGCCAGGCTCAGAAGATAAAACATTGTATGTTTTCCATCATATATGGACTTTAGATCTAGGGCAAATGCAGCAATGTGGTTGAACTTGGATCACAAGACAAGGGGAGAGCACATACGGGAGATACAGGAATAGGTAGAAAACCAAAAACATGAAAGCATTTGATGTCTCCACTCCAGAGGAACTAATACAGAAATCTTAAAAAGACAAAGGTTAACATGAGGAGTAGATCAGGAACCAGTGTAAAGCTCTTTTGGAGATCAATCAACTTGGTTTTAACACATTTGTTCATGAAAGCAATGCTAAGAATCTGTTTGTATAGCTATCCTTAACTAGCAAAAACACTTTGTCTCCCTTATTCTTTTGTCTTCTCTTCAACAAAATTAGGAAGCTAAGGGGAGAAGGGGGAAGAGGTTTGGGGAAGTGGGCTGGGGGAAGAAATGAGCCAAACAATGTATGCACATGTGAATAAATGAGTAATAAAAAACTTTTAAGAAAAGTAAATTAAAAATTGATGGTTAAATGTGCACATGGGATGTAAGTTTTATTTTGAACTTGTTTCTTCCTTTGGTTTTCTGCTTGTTTCCTAACAATTAAAAGCCTTTGTTTTTGGTAAAAATAAATAAATAAATAAATAAAAGTCTGGTAGATTCAGCAAGGATTCTGATTCTCTGATTTTCTTTTGGGGGGAGATTCTATAACTGTGTTAGTGTCTATCTGTGTTTTTAATTTCAGTCTTGCAAGTTTGATGAAGTTGGGTGTATATATTGTGCATACGTAAGTCAACAATTGTTATTTCCTCTTTATGTATTGCTCCTTTTATTAGCATAGAGTGACCTTCTTTATCTCTTCTGGCAAATTTGTTTGAAATCTCCTTTATCTGATTTAAATATAGTTACTATTGCTCATTTTATGGGCCATTAGCTTATTGAAACTTTTCCCACCCTTTCAGGCTATGCCAATGTTTCTGTCTGTAGGTTGAGATTTTGGTAAAGAACAAAATGTGAAGATTTGCTTTATAATCTTCTTTTGTGAAAATTGATGTCTTTTGATGGGGGTGATGAGGCCATTAACATTCAGTATTAATATTTAAATTTAGTAATTCCTGTTATTTAGTTGTTTTTGTTCTGTGAGGGGTTGTGTGTACACAGTTCATTCTATGCTCCTTTCTCTTATTTGTCTTCTCTTCCCTTGAGATTTAATACTTTCCATCCTTTCATGGCTATGTTTATTTTCATCTTCTTGTGTAGGATTCATTTGAGGATTGTCTGGACTATTGCTTTAGTGTTGTTTTAGTGTTTGCTTACCATGGAAGATTTTTATTTCTCCTTCAGTTTTGAATGATAGCTTTGCTGTCTGGAGTATTCTAGGCTTAAAATTGTTTTTTCCAGTGCCAAAAATACCTCACTCCATGCTTTTCTTGTTTTCAAGGTTTCTGTTGAAGAATTTGCTCCTATTTTGATGGGTGTACCTTTATATGTTATTTGACATTTTTTTCTCTTACACCCTTCAATATTCTTTCCTTAACCTCTTTGCTAAATTGTTTTAACTATAAAATGCTTTGGATAGGCTCTATTTTGGTCATGTCTTTTGGGTGTCCTGGAGGATTCTTGTACCTGGATGGCACCTCTTTATCAAGATTTGGTAAGTTTTCTGCTATTAGTTTTTTAAATATATTTCTTATACCTTTGGCTTATACCTATTGTCCTTTTTCAGTGCCCATGATTCTAAAGTTTGTCCCTTTGATGCAGCCACAGAATTCTTGCACATTCCTTTCACAGCTTTTCAGTCTTTTGTCTAAATATTATGTACTTTTTTTTCCTCCAATAGGCATTTTATTTTCAAGGCCCGAAATTCTATCTTCCACTTGTTTTAGTGTGTTGAATGGCTTTCAACAGCATGTTTTATTTGACTTAAGGACCTTTTTGTTTCCAGGGTTTCTATTTGATTCTTTGTTTGAGACTTTTCATATCTTTATTAAGCTCCCATTTTGCATCATGTACCGCCTTCTTTATTTCATTAATCTGTTGTTTTATCATTTCCTCATTTCATTTTGAAGTTTATTGAAATCCTCTTTGATTTCATTTGATTGTTTCTGTGTCATCTCTAGTTTTTTTTTAATTGATGTTCTTTGTTATTTGAGTTGATTATATATTTTTTCTTTAAGCTCATGAAATATTCTCGCCATTTTTCTTCTGACTTCTGCAACTGAGATTCTTCTGCTCTCTCTTCATCATATGATCTATTGTTTGATTGTTAGCTTTTGTAAGAATCATATTTTCTTGCCTTCTTTTTCTCCCCTTGTTTCTATTTTGAATTTTGCTCCTGTATTGTTGATAAGTTATTTGGGAGTTTTAATCACCTGATATCTTTTCTTTGAGTTCATTTCTGTGCTCTAGCTAGCTTAGTTGTTAGCAAGTTGTTGTAGCCTTTCTGTTCACTGAATTAGAGGTATAATGTAGCAGTAACTATTTCACAGAATTAATGCGCAACCAGTTTTTTACATAATATATAAAACCCTTGGCAATGTTATCTATAAACAGTGGATATTGGAGAGATAACATTTGTTTGCATAGAAATTGATATTTAGGCAATTAAAATAATGGTGATAGAACAGAAGATGGGGAAGGGAGAATGTGGTGAGAGGGAGAACTATTAGGTATGTGAGCTATGGGGTAATGAGGCCATTTTATCTACTTTGCCTTACAAGTCATTTTCTGACCAAGGTATCATTCACTATACCCAGGTGTATAATGTCCTTTGTAATTATCACATAAAATATGCATGATACCTTATGTTCTTGAAGACACTTTGCACATCATGGATGAATAAGAGATAAAAGAAGTAACCCAGCTCAGATTAAGCTTGCTGCCTAATGAGATGTCCCCAACCTTACCAAAACAGACACTAGAATAAGTATTTGGTGCTGTAGGATAAAGGGCTATAGAAGTGCTCCAGAATAAGCTAACAGAGCAGAGATGAAGGAGGGATGGCACCCCTGCCACCATATGCTCCTTATATCTCAGAAGGCACACATACTGCACATTGCTGCAAAGGCTGAATTTTCCATCTTGATGTTTTAGATGTTAGCTGCATGGGTGACTCACAAATAGATCTATATGTTCTACTCTGGTACTACAGTAGCATCTGTGATCTGTTTTTCATGAGAAGCTAATCCTTACTATGAATATGCCCATGACATTGTGAAAAATAGGCACAAAGAACATTCATCCTGCCAGAAACTTCTACATCCTTTGTCAAAGATTCCTTTCTTTCAGGTTTTCTGTGTTTCTCCATTGTATGGCACTCCACCACATAGGTAATCAAATTGTTTAACTGATACCTGTTATTCATCTTTTCATTATGTAAACATTGGTGAAAGTACAAAAGTAAATAATTATATAATAAATCCCCAATCACTGCAAATTCAGCTTTCAGTGTTTACCAGCTGCTGATCACTCTAATTTTCCTATATCATTGTTGCTACATAAGGTTTCCTTTCTTATTTAATTTTGGGACATACCCTCCTGAAATATTTTCTTCTTCATAAGGACAATGTTTTGCTCATTATTTTATTTTATTATAAATTTACATGGGACTATACCATTGTTATGAAATGAATACATGTGCTTCCTCCTTCCAGCAGAATTTTTCTTTGAAATCTTGCTAACCCACAAGGAAATGGTGTTAATAGGAGGTGAAGTTCTGGAAGTGATAGGGGAGGACAGTGGAATCCTCATAAATGGGATTAGTGCCCTTGTGAAAAAGACCCAAGCCCAACCTCTATTCATGTACTATGTGAGGAATGACACCATGAAAAGTCCATGAACTAAGAACTCAGCCCTCACCAGACATTGAACCTGTAGGGGCCTTGTTCTTGCACTTTCAGCCCCAGAACTGACAAATAAATGTGTTGTTTAAACCATGCAGACTGTAGTATGTTTTGTTATAGTGTCACAACTGTTAGCCCTTTCCTAAATTTATTTTATCGTGCAATTGGGACAAGGAAAAAATCAGGAAAACATTTCCCAAGCTCTGCAATTTGCCAATTTTTCCCTGAAACACTAAAACATTTCCAAGAAACATTGAAAACATGACTGACTGAAAAGGCCACTTGCTGTTCTGCTCCTCCCTCATGTTTTTCCTTGACTTCCCCTTGCCCTCACATCTGCTGTCCATGCTGTTCAGTTTGAACCTCCCTCAGGAAGTCCTTCTAGTGCTGAGTTTGGAGCAGCAGGAATGCATGGTAGGTGCTTCCTTGGACTCAGAAGTCCTGAATATTCTACCTCTTCAGGACTCACTATCATTCTCACACAGGGCAGCATACACTCCTCTGGTGTCAGATTCTGTTCTCAGTGTTGGTTCCACAATTCCTAAGAGCTCCTGTTGACTGCATTGTTATTCCTCTGCCTCAGTCTGTCACAGACCTGCAGCCCCAAACCTCCTTCTGAATAGGTGTCAATCTTGTCAAATCCTTCACAATATTTGTCCACATACATTCATAATTTGGGATTTGTGAAGATACTATTGTCCACTTTGATTTCAATAGTGTCAATCAGATTTTGGATTTTGTTTTTTAGTTACAGGGTCCATTTGTATGGAGACATTTAGGAAGACTCAAAATCTATAGTTCATGTTTATTGGTACATTTTCCAAGAACCAATTTCTTTAAATTTGGAATTAAAACCATGCAAAAACAGATTTAGTATCAATCATACAGAAAATTTAGCATCTAAGTCACAAGAGTCAGGTCTAGACAATCAGGAGCAATGCACATATGCCTGGATCCTAACACTCAGGCTCAGCTTATCCTGGAGTGAATACAGACACATTCCATGAGCACACAAGCCCATGAAGCCAATTTCCTCCTACGGAGTTTAATTTTCTAGAATTCACTTTTTAGTAGGAATACTGGCACAAGAAGGCTAACTTTTTTAAAACAAATTTGATTAAGAGGCTTTTGTGGTTTGGACTGTGGTCTCAGAAACAACAGAAGCTTTGGAGAGTTCAGGTTGTCCTCTTTATTCCATTAATCTTGAGTTTGTGGGTGAATAACAAGGACATAGAAAGCTGAGGCTGCTAGTGTTTGAAGGGGAGTATACAGCTTAGGACCACACAGCAAATGAGGCAGAAGGCTCCCCATGGGATCCTAAAGCTTGTTTTCAAGGGACAGAATCCTCACTTTCCCACGGAAGCCTGGGGTGACTTACTGGTTCATTTGAACTGTTTACTGTTTATTCGTCAAATAGCAAAAGACTCCAGGGCAAATGCTTGTGAGAATAAGTGTAGAATCATAACAAGAATCATATTCTGGCAGCAACAAAAGTTATTATAAAGAAGAACAGAGGTAAGAAGTCAAAATACATGTACTGAAAATTATATCATATGTTATTTTAGGTGGTAACAGGTCCACTCAAACATAAAAATACTAATTCTGGAGAAACTGGACCTATATCCTTCAAATCATGTGAATTTAATAAATGGAATTCTCCCCCCACCCACCACCACCACGAAGGAACATTAAGAAGTTTGTTGCATATCATCCAATGGTTATTTTTTAAGTTTTTTTTGAGATAATTATTAATTACAATATGAACTTGTACAGGTAGTACAAAGAAGTCCCATGTAATGTACATGCAATTTTCCCCAATTGTTAAATCTTACAATAATTACAGTATAATATGTCAAAACCAGGAATTTAATATAGATATGTGTATGTAGTTCTATGTATTTTATCACATGCATAGATTATGCAACTGTCACAACAATCAATATATAGAACTAATTCAGTATTATATATACTATATATAGTATATAATATATATTATATAATATGTTATAATATATGTAATATATAATAATATATATTATAATATATTAAGAGGTGAGACCAGGTGGGACATGGTAAAGATAATTAGGACTATGCCCACATGAACGGATTAATCTATTCACTGAGACTAATGTGCTAATGAGGTATCTCAAGTGTGGCTAGGCTATAGAGCCCTTTTTTCTAATTCTCTGACTCTCACTATGTCAAGTTGTGCTATGCCATCTTGGGACTCTGCAAGATGGTTTCACCAGATGTTTACAACAGGAATTATCAACCTTATTTTAGAAAAGGCCAGATGGTAAGTATGGCTTTATAGGCTATTGAGTTTGTCACAAAGACTTAGTCTGCTATTGTCACCTAAAAGCAGTGTAGATTATACTCAGGGTGATAAGTACATGTGGTCTTGTTTCAACAAAATTCATTTACTAAAAGAGCTGTCTGAGGTCTAGATAATTCCTTCTCCAGCCCCCCAAGTTGTCTGAGACCCTATTTAGCATGGCTCACTCAACAATGCATGTATTCTGATTCCCAGAAATAGGTATGTTCCCCAGCAAGAACTGAGGCAGATGTCAATCCCTGAACTCAGAGAACACAATGTCTTCTTTATATTCCTTTTGAGAATGTCTTTCTGCATGGACCAATTAATCATACTTCCTCTTCTATCCAGTGAAAAACAAGAATAAAGATGACTGCAAGCAAGGGTCTCACCTGCCAGTGATTTGTACAAAAGATGGTCTTGACTTACAACGATGTGAAATTGATATGATTCAGCAAAAGTGTGCTTAGATTTTGAATTTGTATCATTCTCAGGCTAATGATATGCAGCACAATCCTCTTTAGTGATGTAGGGCAGTGGCTTTCACTGCTCTGGGTCAGCCACTCCATCAAGAGGGGAAACAACTGACATTGTACCGTGTGCTGTGTTGCTAAGATAGGATGTTTAGTAAAGTAGACGTACTGAATGAATGTATTTCAACTTATGGCTTTTTCTATTTATAAATGGCATAGATATCCATTTATAATAGATAAATATAGACATAACCCAGTCACATATCAGGGATCAACTGTACCATTACATAAAGGATTTTGCCGTAAGAGTTCTGTCTCTCCCTCCAGAGGATGCTCCATAAACCTACCATTATGTTCACTTAATAATTTATATAATGAATATAATGATTTTAATTATATTCAGTAACAAAATGGCCTGAGGCCATGAGCTTGTCTTACTTATCTCTGAATGAAACACACCAGACATGCAAATAAGGTTAAATTGGCCTGCTCTGTTTTCTCTGTTATTTAATCTTTTCCTTATTTCTTTTTGGAGTCAGCAGCAACAAGCAGATCCTATGGCTTTCCTGTTTCTCTCTGCCTATAGCTGTTTCTTCATGTTTCTCAAATTTCTCATCCATTTTCCCTAGAGTGGTGTCCAGATCAGTTAAACACCGAACAATTTCAAATGGCTGATGTAGAAAAGATAACTGAAAGGACTAAAGAGAGAGATAGCTCAATTTGTCCAAGGAGCGCTGGGGTCTGGCTGACTGCTTCATGAGCAAGTGTTACTGATACAGAGGCACAGGATGACAGGTAAACTACCAGTAGTGACCACTCCTGCCATACCTGCCATACACAGAGACTGAGCTCATCACACCCCAGGCAATGGTGCTGTCAGCCTTTCTCAGAAGGGGCAAGCAAGTTACCTGAGGCTCAGGGCATGCTTATTTCCACAGAATCTACATCTTCCTGACAGACATCCTGGATTTTCAGAATCACAGATCTTTTTACTTGTGGGAGGATTTTTTCAAGAGACCAAACTGAGAATTAGGTGTAGCTAATACCATGCTTACACTTTCCTGCTATGACTTTATGATCTCTAGGAGAATCTGAAATTCTGACCATAACAACACACCTACAACATGTTAAGATCCTCTAATGACAGTGATGTTTAACCTAACCATGGCTCCTGTTCTCCCTCAGTAGGCTATAAACACAGAATACAAATGAGGGTAGGTGATGTGCAATCTTCAAAATGACGTGACAGAAAGAAATTAAAGACACCTAGCTGCATATTTCAAAATAGAAAGTCTTTCTTTACTCCCTGATTCCAGGAAGGCCAGGATAATGACTTAGGGTTAGAAAGGAGAACATCCTCATTCCCCAAAATGAGGAAAACACTATGTTTGTTTTTGTCTATTGGGCCTTTCAACTGTTTGATTGTTTGTTTGTATGGGGATGTTTTACCTCCTTATTGCTTTATTTTTTTCTTATTGCTTTTTTCCCCACATCATTATATGTAGACCATAACACTCAATTTAATTTTCAGTGTTTACCATCTCTTCTCCCTCTCTCTTATTATCATCACCATTTCTATTTTTTGATGTCCTTAATTGAATCAGTTCTTTTATTATCTTCTCTATTTCCACATCTACAATCCCCTATTATAATGTTCTCAACATGTTATTAGATTACCAATGTTTTTTACTTTCTCCTTTCTTTATATCTATAACTTTAGTAGATATTCCCTCTTTATATCCTTCTTATTTTTCATTATGTCCTCTATTTAATTTAGCCACCACCCCTTTTATTCTTATTTCATTACATATCTTGCACTACTCACTAACATCAACCCTTCTATTTTTTTTGCCATCACTAGCCTTATTTGCTGGCATGTTCTTAGCTCATGAAGTACCATATTTACTCCTTTGTTCCTCTAAGGATAATGGAGCTGTGGTTGTGCTTGTTCTTAATTGGTGATTAATATATTTTCAAGTGAAAGTGTTCTTACCTGTAATTACTTCTGCATCTAGTCTTCTCCTCCTGAGTGGGACAGAGGGCCACACACACCATCATGAGAAGGGTGGGTGAATGTATGGGTGCTGAGTAATATTCCCTGTCCAATGGCAAGAGAATATGCCACCATTCAGAATCCAGTCATGCCTAAATAGTTTGTATATTTCAACTAAAAGGAAACAAATTAAAATATCAAACTGAATAATTGACCTCAGATATGTAAATCCAAAGTAGAAACACAAGTAATATGAAAATATAAAACAATGTATCTACTCAAAAGCTAACAATTCTTTAATAAAGGATTAGAATGCTAGTGAAGTGGGTGATATCTAAAACAATAAACTCCAGAGAATGATCTGAAAGAGGACATGTATAAACACTTAAATAAATTGAAAGAGAATACAAATAAAGAACTGAATGATGAATTCCAAGAATATTCAAATAAATAGCTGAATTCAATAAGGAAGACAAGGCATGGTATAAAACAGGAATTCAGTGAATATAGAAAACCTGAAAAAAATCAAATTGATCTTCTTAATGGTGGATGTATGCCTCACAAAGTAGAGCACCTGTCTTACAAGTGCAAAGTCCTGAGTTCAAAGCATAGTATTGCCAATGTACAAAATAAGCTTATTTGGAACGTCACTATGAATCCCCTTTGGACAATGAATATATTCCAATTAAAAATAAAATAAAAGGAAATTACTTACCATAAAACATAGTGCTGCCAAATAAATGCATAAAAAATGATGAAAATCTCAATATCACCCCATACTCAACTGAAAGCCTCTAGTATGATTGATAGAAGATAAAATATCAGTGCTTGAAGATAATGGAATCAGACTGTTCAGATAAGGACAGAGAAAACTAATAAGAAAATATTAATGTAATACATGTAACATCTGGGACACTATTAAAAGACCAATCCTAGGAACCATTGGCATACAGGAAGAAAAACAAAAGTATACAGAACATATTCAATAAAGTAGTAGGAGAAAAATCCCGAAATTTTGAGAAAGAGATGGTCATCCACTTACAGGTCATCCACTTACTTTTACTTATATTTTAGGTAAAAGTCTTAAAAAGACAAGTTCAGAGAAGAACTTCCCCTAGGCACAATAGGGTTAAAATGTTAAATATGTGGAACAAAAAAGAATATTGAAAGCTGGAAAAGAGATATGAGAAGTCACGTATAATGGAAGGACCAAGTGAATCACAGCAGACTGTTCAATGACAATTCTAAATGCAAGAACAGATTGGGATGATATATTCCACACCCCTGAAATAAAATAAATGTCAGTCTAGATTACTGTATTCAGCAGTCATCTTTTCTAATTGAAGGAAGAATAAAATCCTTCCATAATAATAAAAATCTGGAAATTCAGGACCACTAAACTATCATTCTAGATTATAAAGGAATATTACACACAGAAGAGGAAGATAACTGGAAGCAGGAAAATACAAGAAAGAATGAATCTCACCAGATGGATAGATAAGCAAATGAAAATTAAGAAACAAGCAAACATCATGAAACAACAAAATGACAGGAGCTACTACATTCCTTTCAATAACAATGCTGAAAGTTAGTGATCTCAATCCTCCAATCAAAAGTATTCTTTGATTTACAGATAATGGAGCTGTGGTAGTGATTATAGTAAATTAGTGATTACTTTTTTTTAAGTGGGTGTATCTATCAACTATGATGGCATCTGCAGTTAGTCATTTTCTACTGGCAGAGAAGAAAGCCAGACCAGAATAGTGTGACTGCTGTGTGAATGTATGACTACTCTGCCACATCCCCAGGACCAATGGAGGGAAAGTATTTGGCAACACAACCACTACCCAGGCCTGATTAAATGTTATGAATACTTCAAGTGAAAGGAAACAGGAGATTAAAACAATTGACAAAAAACTTGGCAGGTGACAGGAAGATTAGATTAAAAAACAAGAGACAATCATTTATTGCCAAAAGAAATACACCTCACTGGAAAAGATAAAAACAGGCTTAAAAGGCTGAAAGAAGATATTCCAACAAAATGGAGCCCCAAAGCAAGGAAGAGTAGCTATACTCATCTCTAACAAAGAAAGCTTCAAACAAAACAAGTCAGAAGAGACAAAGAAAGTCGCTTCATATTGAAAAAAGTAAAACCAATGAAGAGGAGATAAAAAATTTAAATAGATATGTTTAAATATATGTCTACCAAATGTCTACACACTCAATTTTATAATAGTCTACACACCCAATTTCATAAAAGCACAGATGAACCCAATGCAACAATATTAAAAACTACATACCTTACTGTCACCAATAGATGGGTCATCCAGACAAAAACACCTAAACAGAAATTTCAATATTAAATGGCACTCAGAGCAAATGGACTTCACAGACAACTATATCATATTTTACAAAACAAATGGACTTTGGGATACACAGACATTCAGTCTACATAGGTCTGATCTCCTAATAGAGAAGTCACTGGAACAAGCAGTGCTCTCCATTCACCAAGGCCCTGTGGAATTTCTGACTTCCATCCTGGGCTTAGGTTACAGGAAGTGATGAGTGCCCTATCACCTTCTTAAGAAAGTTTCTCTTCTCATCACTCAGGGCCAATCATAGAGCAATAAATACAGCCAATCTATAAGTTAAAGACAACTTCCGAAGAGCATCTACCTTCTTACATCATAGGTTGACCAAGGGGTAACAGGATAGATTGCATTAGGTAAATACAGGGAGGGACTGAGAGAGAGTGACAGGAGGCCAAATGAATGGAATGAATCTGGGTCTCCAGTTGAATTAAATTCACTTAACTCACTTTTTTGGTTAAATTTATAACTTGGAAAAATTCTTATTATGATTATACAGCACGTTTCCCTCAGCCTCTTTTGTGTCACCTGTTGGATTCCAAGGGCAACATCAAGGACAATGACTTTGGGGTGGGTCCCAGATTCATGTTAGGGCGGAAGCTAGCCAGGGTGTGTGGAATTCTCCAATTTTGAGT